AATGAACAAAATAGATCCAGAGACACAGAAGCATGGAACAAACTGACGAATCTCAGAGGGAAGGCTGTCTCTNCAGGGGTGGGTGGGGGTTGGGGAGAGATTAACCTAAGAACTTAATATGCATATATGCATAACCCATGGACACAGATAATAGTGTGGTGAAGGCCTGGGGGAGGGGTGCAGAGTGGAGGGGATCAATGGGGAAAAAAGGGAACTTTAGTAATACTTTCAAAAATAAAGGTAAATTTTAAAAAAAAGAGAGAGAGATGAGGCATCAAGCCACAGTATGTCACGGGGGAACCTTAACTATATATTACTAATGCAAGAATCCAGTCTAAAACAGCTATATACGCATGACTCCAACTGCATGACATTCCAGAAAGGCAAAACTCCAGAGACCACGAACAGCTCAGTGGTTGCCATGAGTTCAAGGGGAGAGCAGGAGGGAGGAACCAGTGGAGCACGGGATTTTTAAGGGCAGAGAAACCATCCTGTATGACACTGTAGTGGTGGACGCATGACATTATGCATTTGTTAAAACCCATAAACCTGTTCAACACAAAGAGCGAAACGTAAGGTCAGCTGTGAACTTTAGCTAATAATAATGCATCAATTATAACAAGTGTATCACACAAAGGCAAGATGTTACTAATAGGGGAAACTGTGCACAGGGAGAGGAGATATCTGGGAATTCATTACTTTCTACTTATCTTTTCTGTTAATTTATAACTGCTCTAAAATAAAATCTATTATAAAAATTATTGTCCATAGTAAATAGAAAAATTAACTCACAGCATATGATATATGCATATGTATAAAATACAAACGTCATATATATGCACGTGCACATATTCAAGTAAAATGAAATAACTATATATCTCTTTTCATGATCATTTTTAATGTTATATTCTGTTATTTTCCCTCTCCTGGTCATGGGAGGGGAGGAAATACAGTTATGCTAAATTATGTTCACGGGGAATTTGATGGTGAAGGGCAGTAGGACTGAGGTGGACAGCTGTGGGAATCTGAAGGTCTAGGAAAGAATTACTTTGAGAGGCTATAGTGATGCCAGCTACGAAAACACATAGTTAGTAGCTATTGAATTTTATCCTTTAGTCATTTCACTTTCAAGAATTATAAATGGATACTTGACTATAAAACTGCATATGTATCAAATTCTCCCAACCAGTTAAAATGTGAGGAAAACAGAAGCAGCACCTACCAAGTTGTTGAGGTTGACCATGATGACATGCTGGTATTCTTCGCCCTTTTTACCTTCAATCTCACAATCGGATGATGCGACTGGCAACAGAACAAGGATCAGGGGAGGAATTCCAAAGATATACCTAAAAGAAACTGAGGCCAACAGTAGGTAAGAAGAAGCCAGACAAGAAAATGTAGGGAAGTCATATGATCTAATGTGACTGTGGCATTGCAATGGGCCCGATCACGCATTTCTAATCTTTGTAAACAAGCATCTTGGGTTTCGGGTAGAGCAGGAAGAACTCTAAAATTCAATACAAAGCAACAACCAAAGTAGGACAGAATTTTAGCGTTTAGGTTTCTTTCCCATTTTACTGAGAAATTGCTTTTTGGGAAAGTTGCAGAGCAGGGGTGGATGCCAGCAGAGTCTTTGCTTCTGGAAAATGCCGCAGGGCATGAACACAGTTTATCCAATTTTGACTTATGTTGAATATCCCCACAGGAAAAGGCATCTACAGGTGGACAGGTAAAAGAGTGATGGGTGAAGAAGTTACATGATTTTGACATTTTATGATCTATGGCATGTGACTGTGTATGCATGTAAAGCCCGATGGTTGTCCAAGGGTCCAGAGGCTTCCTGGAGGAGGCATTGCAGGTGGACCTCCATGGCACTGCTCTGTGATTGTACTTTTGCCTTTTAGAGATGGCTTACCCTTCACAGTGCTATGGCGACATTGACATTTATATTCTGAGACTCCTTATGTTTTCAGTAGCTTCTGTTTCCAAGTACCCAGAGATCCATAGTCTCGTCAAACACTGCTCTGTTTAGCCTCTTGATATGTTAGAAAAGCCTACTAAGTAACTTCACACCCTGTTAACTAATGATTTTTTTATAAGCCTTCCTAATTAGGGGTCTAATCAAAAGGAATGAAATTATGAATGGTATCATTTGGCGCAGTAGTAATTGACTGAATTCCTGAACAGACTAGTTCCCGAAGATATTAAAATCTGGTTATACAGGGACTTAATTCTTCATAAGCCTGCCAGAGTATCTTTTCTGCATCTTTCTGTGAACTTTTGAGTTGCACTGACATCTTTCCTGTGAATTTCCCAAAGGAACTTTCACTGTACATGTGCTCCTTCTCTGATTAAGATCACAAACAATACCCTTTAGAACCCACGGTACTAACATTGTGACAATGACCTAAAGACTGTTAAATATGTCAAAAAGTTCCCAATAACATTGTCGTCTATGATACCATCATCTGTCACATAAAAATCAGTAGTTGCCCTGGCTGGGTTTTTAAGTGGTTAAAGCACTGGCCCCTTGCATCAAAGGGTAGAGGGTTTGATTCCTGGCTTGCAGGTTCCAGCTCCCCTTCCCTGGTCGGGGCTTGTGCGGGAGGCAGCCAGTCCATGTGCCTGTCACATCGATGTTCCTCTCTCCCTCCCTCCCTCCTTCCCTCCCTTCTACTCTCTCCGAAAAAAACAATGGAATAAAACATCCTCAGGTGATGACTACCAAAAAAATATTTTAAAAATTGGTAGCACTCCCCAATAAATTATGTGCTATTAATGACCCATGTTTTACAAACAGACAAGGTAGACTGGGTAGCAGATCTGGGAACAAACACGAATCCTACATGAATCTCATCCTCACATGTCACTGACACTTGACAAGGCAAGAGAAACAAAATGAGACCTGGATTCCATTCATTGCTCTGCCACGAAATATCTATATACATGACAAGCAATAATTCACTTAGGAGATTAATAATAATGATGGCACTAGAGACCTTTCACTGAATACCTACTAAGTGCCAAGCACTGGTAAGTGTCATATACATAGTAGTTCTGCAAGTAGCTGCCAGGTATGGATTTTAACCTGAGTGCACTGCCTCCCCAGGATTTGATCCGAAGTGTCCATAATCTTTTGATAACATGCAATCACATTGGTCTTCTGAATGCAAACCACTTCCACATAATAGTATTCAGCTCTGCCGTCTCTTCTGCTTCTGCTCCNCGATAACATGCAATCACATTGGTCTTCACACTTCACACATAATCACACTTCCACATAATAGTATTCAGCTCTGCCGTCTCTTCTGCTTCTGCTCCTTCATCCTCAAGATTCCCAGACATGAACAACTACTAATGATTTACCAGGCCCTGACTTTGCCATCAGAACCGTATGCATTGTAGAGACAAACTTTCCTGGGTCCCCTTACAGGTGTCCCCGTAGCACACCTTGGGAGGAGTAGATGATAAAGAAGTTAAACAGCGCATAACTTGAAATGAGCTTTAAGGGAAATAAATACAATACATTAAGCACTAGAATGAAAAAGAGGCATTTTTACCATTATATGTAAACGCTATTTCAAAGGACAGATTTTGATGCTTTAATGAAGGAGATTGTTTGGTTTTCAATGTATAGAGCACCAGCCCTCAGGTCCTCTTCACCTCAGCTTTCAGTAATTAGCGCTTTCAAATTCATAACAGCCTATTTGGTCACTGAAAGGCACTTTATCAATGCATTCCGAAGATGGCTTGGTGGAAAATTCAGTCTTCCTCTGTGTATTACAACTAGTTTCAAATTCTAAAGCATAATTTGACCTGTCAGTAAAGAGTGTCTTTTGCTGCCATTGTTGTTAAATAAGTTAGCCCCAGGTGGTCTAGGACAGAGCGGAGCACCGAGGGTTTGCAGGGTGGAGACAGGGTTTTGGTATTAATGTGACAATGGGCTGTTGACTGAACGAAGGAAAGAATGTCTTTGATGCTTCACCCCGACTTGTAAAATGAAAACCATCCCTCCATGCCAATTCCAATTCTGAAGCACCTTAATTTGCATAGCCTACCAGGCCATTGAAATACAGTTGACTCTTTATATCTGAAATCACCTCAGGGACCAGGCTGCAAACACGCCCAGGGCTTCGGACATACTTCTCCTTAAGGACTTGCACTTTGGCCTCCTTAATGACTTGCACTTTGGTAACTGAAGTCTTCCCTCCACACCACGTAGAGTAAATAATATTAATATCATTTGAGCTTGCTTCTAGCATTGTCACAATGGGAAAAGGACTCTCGTTTTGTTTTGTTTCAAATTATACACAGACACCCGCACTTCTCTCAACCTTGACCTTTTCATTAGGTTACGAAAAAGATAAACCATAAAGACATAACGCAAGGCAAGCTGGGCTTGTGGAGTTTTCTTTAGATCTCCTGAAGGGACTGAAACTGGAGAATTTGTTTCCAGTAGGGAATCTGGTTAAACCAAAATGATGGCTATCGGAAAAATTCTTGTTGGTTTTTAATTTAAGCCAAATGATACATTCAGTCATCAGCTACTTAAGTTACAGGGTCAAAGTGAACATAGATAAATTAGTTTCTGCTATCCACTGAACCCAATTTTCCATCAGTCTTTGAGACCAATAACTGTTAACTGAGTGTCCATTATAAACACTACATAGACCTACTTTCACTGGGAATTTTAAAAAATGGTCAAAAGACATCCAGGATGAACCGAAAGACATCTGAGTGTGAAAGTTGGTTCTAACCTAATCAGTGGGCCCCAGCAAGAGGGTGAGTAAAGAATATGGTAATGAATAGAAGCCGCCTGTATGTTGTATGCAAATGAGCTTTTAAAGTTACAAAAAAACCGAACCTGATGGTGCTCACATAAAGACATCTAATAGCCACAAGTATATTCAGACTGCACTATAAATTCTATCCACAAATTCCATGACAAATACTTGCAGACATTTCTGAAGTCAACCTATGACATTGCATATAATATTTCATAACCATTTCATGAGGTCAGTCTTATTATATAATAACAAGGCTAATTATTAACATTTTTGCAAATGAAGAATCTGGAGCCCAAAGAAACTTTTTTTGCCCCGTATATAATGTGCCTGTTAAGAAGCAAGATTCCAAGTCAGGTTTCTCAGCTTGAAGAGTCTAGAAGCTCCGCTTTTGGCCACTAGGCTACCCTGCTTCCTAAAGAAACAACTGTGTGCTGTGCAGTCAAGGTATGTGTCCTACACCCACCTTGCTCCCCAGGAACCTGGCTAAGGTACTTCCCGGCCCAGCTCTGGAACACGGCATCACATGCTCTCATCTCAGGGAGAAGACACTGTTCACTTGCTGTTCTTACACTAGGCTGTCTGTCAGAGGTGAAACCAGGGGGAAAAAACCCACTAGTGAACAGCACATGGAAGTTAGTCCTATGAAACGACCTTCTCCATTCTGGTTAAGACCTTTCGACATGGATGTGGGGCCATGGAGCTCTCCTTTACTCTTGTCCAGGTCTTCTCATCTTCCTCAGCTCTCCCTTTTTGTGACTGTTCCATTTTTGGGTCCTCAGGTATGACCGAGTTATCTAAACTAGATCGCGCAGCTGAGAACCACACAGTAGGTCCTGAATAACTTCAGCTCCCAGAAGATGTAGCCAAGTAAAAGGAGAGAGCAACCCTACCCTTAAGCTTCCAGTGAAACCTACTGAAACAAAAGGCAGAAAGCCACTTACTATCATCACTGTTGGCGATCTGGAGCTCTAGCCTTGCTTGCTGCTAAGGACTCATGGTATGTGATTAATAGAGAAATGTTTCAGGAAATAAAGGTTCCTTGGTCATGATGCACACCCGGTTTCCTTTTCCTGTTTTAGCTTTCACTTAGGGTCAGAGGTGATGCAAGGATTAGATGGAACCAGGAGCCATCCAGGAAGAAGTAGCTGCAAGAGGCCCATGGCCATTGACTTGAGAGAGAGTGAGAGCAAGAGCGAGAGAAACATCGATGTGAGAAACATCCATCAGTAGCCTCCTGAGCACACCCTGCCCTGGGATCAAACCTAAGCCTCGGCCCATGACCTGAACCGGAGTTGAACCCACCACCCTCCAGTGCACTGGAAGATGCTCCAACGACTGAGCCACGCCGGCCAGGGCAGGACAGACCTGATTTCTAAATCTCCATGACCTTCCCCAGGACGCCCATTATAAATCTGCGTCCATAACTGCCTTCTATACTCTAACCCCTGGCCCTTTATTTTGCTGCTGATTATTTTAATGCTGGGCTGCGTCAATTCCTGATTCTTTAATGCCTCTGACACGGGAAAGGGCTCTTTGGGTCCCTTGGTGGAGCCAGGAAAGCGCGCAAACCAGGCATCAAAAGGACCAGCAAGCGGCCTCCCCCCCCCCCC